GGTGGAGCGCCCGCCGCACCGCGCCGCGCGACAGCACCTGCAGCGCGGGCGGCGACTGCTCCTCTGCGATAATAACGTAATAAATAACATTATGATTCATGTCATAATCAACAAAGTAAAGTGTTCGTCAACAAGAAAGTACCGTTCATATCAATAAGGCCACCCTTGCACAAATTTGTTGGTTGATATGCTTAGTTTTAGTTTACCTTTTTTTAAAATAAATAAACAAACAAGTATACCTAGCGTAAGAGTTCTAGGAGCGTCTGTGCCGGTGTCTGCGGGCGGCAGCTGCAGCGGTGCGAAGGAGACGTTGAGCAGACTGCGCGAGGTCCACTCGCGGACGCCGACTCGGCGCACTTGCACCAGCGTGTCATTCAGCGGCATCACCAGGACGCCCCCGATCTTGGCACAAATCTCTCATTCACCTCCCGCCAAAACCAAGCGTTACACGGAAATGGAAAAATAAAATTTATTATTACTTCTCAGTTTGAATATGATTCAGAAAGATGAAATAATAATATCACATCATTTATTCAAAAATATAAAAAAAACTTGATGATAACAAAATGAAACTATTATGTTTTTGCTGATTGCTGATCAGATACACAGAAAAACAAACTTGTGATTTCAAAATCAAGATCCAGACTAGATTTCAAACTAATGTCTGTAATCTGCACCTAAAGAATTATTTCATTCAAAATAAAAAGTTACAACATAATATATAGTAGTAGATAACAAAAACAGTACCCTTATGAGCTGCTTAAAATACGTAGCGTACTCGTCGGGACAGGCGGCGCCGCAGTAGACGCGATCGTAGGCAGCCAGCAGCGGCGCCAGGCACAGACCATTGCCTGCTCAACAAATGCCCTATGCTTACACAGCTCTATTTTATTAAAAGAATTGAAAACTCACCATTAACATCCATGTAGTTACCATGTTGCTACTCACCAAGAAAAAATTTAGGTTCACAGAAGTCAAAATCATCAATAGCAGGCGAATTTTCAATGAATTTTCTTTGCATTGTGTTTGCATAATCCACAACATTGGGATATATTTCAATCCCGTGGCTGATGCCTCCGGAGCCAAGAATCAGCCCCACCATGGTGCTCAAGTACCCAGTACCGGAGCCAATGTTCAGGAACGATAGCCCCGGTTTTACTTCCAGTCCCTCCATAACTTCACTGTTGGAGTAACATGGTCAATAAATAAAAGTATGCAAATACTTTGCCATGTTAATGTTGTTCCTAAACATGTGGACAAAGACATAAAAATTAATCAGTTATTATAACAAAGGTGGACAATTTAAAAACAAAAAGCAGGGAAAAGAGCTTTCATTCCTAAACACATCCTTTTTATAAGTTGAAAGTCGCATTTCTTAAGGTTAAATGACGAGATGTCTTCGCACTAAAAGGGTAAAAAGGAGCTTTAAGGGTGTATAGACAGTGACTTCTTCCTAAACGGAAAAAGCGGAACCTTTTCTTTTTTCTATAAAATATATACTCCGAACGGTGATGGGGAGAACACTTACCTGTATATACAGGGCGAAGACAAATGTAAATGTCCATTTCGCCAGGCAATATCTTTGTAAGCCCGCTCTCTATCACCAGGGACCATATATTCTCTTCTATCGAGAGCTCTGAACACACGTTCCACTTCTTCAGTACGGATATAACTACCTTCCATCAGATTGTCCACCAACTCATTGTTATTACGTCCTGAGCTCACTGCACCACCCATTTTGCTATTTTATCACTACAATTTTACTCGTAAATACCTAGTCTTCAGCTGATGGGAAACGTGACGTCACAGTTGTTTTTCCACATATTACAAAGCTCATTCTGTTTAAAACCTTTTTAAACAGAATGTAACAAGTTATACGATTTATCAGAAATTACTTGCAAGGTTAATGTCTTTCTATGAACTTTTAATAAGATTTAATAATGAAAGGGAAAAGCTAAACCATTTACAAGAATAGATTGAACCAAACAGACAGATTGTTTTCTACCACAGATGAAAGTAAACTAGAGATTACCATAGATAAACAAAAGTCAAAATAATAACCTTAGGGTAAAGAGTAAATTAATTCGTACAGATTGCATCAAACGTATTTTTGAGCAACGAAAAACGAAATGATAGAGCTTTCAGAAAAGATTGATATTGGCCAAGCCGTCTTTATCATCATCATCCATTGCTGGACATCAGACTTCCCAGACCCTAATACCCTACAATCTCACAGAATGTCGAAATGCTTGCAATGTCGGGGATGTATGTAATATTGATATATTATATTTCAAGGCAAAAATTATGTCAATTTATTCAATATAGGCAAAGACATTTAAATAAAGCGAGGAATTTTGCAACGTGGCTAAATATGTGAATGCAATGATTCGGCACTATTCTATAATCTACGGTAAAATTGACAGATAGTCGTCAAGTCGTCAATAAAAAAATACGTGAAAGGGGATGTGATCCAGTTGTTTTTTGAGTTAATCCAACAACTAGTTTAGTTTGATCTATAGTTAAATTTTTGTAGTGAATTCTAGTGATTACAGTGATTGTTACAGAGACAGGACAGAAGTTTAAAGTGCGTTTACACAATATAACTCTAATACGGGGATATCTTAAATTGTGGGTTGTTAGCGGTGGACAAAATAATTGTGTGACGCAATAAGCAGTTCAAATTTTTGAAATGGCTGAGACCAGTGAAGCACAGCCCAGTGCATCGGCGCCAGGTGGAGACGGCAGCGAGGAGGACAAGCGGGATGAGCGAATGTTGGAGTGCAACATCTGCCTTGATACAGCTCGGGATGCAGTGGTCAGCATGTGCGGACACTTATTTTGGTACGAAGCTCAATAATACGAGTATCTCTTAAGATAATCAATAACAAAAGATCCAAATTAACGACAGGACAAACATTATTTAGTTTTCCTTTACACATGTTCATTCAAAAACATACACATATTTATTTATTTTGTCATAAAAACATGGGCCTTTTATGACATTCTGACCTAATTATAAAACAACTTTGTTATGAAAATAAATTTTGATAAGTAATAGCTTTTTCCTTCATTTTATCAAAAGATATTGCTGCTTTCTTATAATTTCCAGACTGCTCTTGTGTTTTCCTCTATTTAAATAGCCAAAGATGAATTGTATATTTCTAAGTTTTTTTTGCTGCATAAATCCATACTATCAAACAATAGATAACTTTATTGAAAATCTTAAGTATTACGGCAAGTAAAGAATAAAGACATTATCTGCATTTACCCTTTTTATATCTTTATTCATTGCCAATATTGTTATAAGAGCAGTGAAATGCACATCAATATGCTAATATTAGGCAAAGTTTATAATTACATCCTTGGTATCTATAATAAGGTGTAGATAATGTATGATTGCAGTTGGCCCTGCCTGCACCAGTGGCTGGAGACACGGCCAAGCCGCCAGGTGTGCCCCGTGTGCAAGGCTGCCATAAGTCGGGACAAAGTCATACCACTCTATGGTCGGGGGAACACTAAGCAGGAGGACCCCAGAAATAAGGTCAGTAACATGTTGATGTAAAAAATAGAGTTTATCTCTCATAGAATATTGTAATAGATGGAACTCTTAATTGTAGTCAACATTTTATTATTTCTAACAAGAGATAGTTAATTTCACTCATTGCATTTTTTTTTATAACTGCGGGACTTTAAAATGTTAGTAATTGGCTGTTAAATGATTGTTATCTCCATAATAATAAATATTTTGTGTCTTTGATTCCTTCCTCCCTACCAAGTTTTGTTACGAAGCAAATATCTTGAGTATTTCCTTATGTGCCAATTTCAGTCCACTAATTATTTGATAATAATAGTACAGACCTCGAAACCTAGGTCACCTGTTATATCAATAACAAGTGACAAGTACAGAGTTAAGTATATAATAATACATAATGTAAACACGACACGACGAAAAACGCGTGTTTATCCACACGTTTCAAGGACGTTATATGTTAAACCTTTGATGTTGAACGTAAAAAGTCTTATATTGATGTTCTGTTATCTCCAAGTGGTCAGCTGACAATGATTATTAATGAAGACAATAAAGTTGGTAACAGTTTGGATCATTGACCTGTATTAATGGACAGGCTATAAAAAGTGCTATTCTGTGCCTATTAAAAATTGGTTGGTTGTGAGAATTGGAACGAATTGAGATTATATTATGATAAAAAAAATCATTAAAATACTTATGCTGTCATTTCCAAGCAAGTATCTATCTATTTATACAGATCAGTTGTTTAGATAAAACAAGAAAAACATTACATAGAATAGACTAATAGTTTTGTTTACATTGAGAGTCATTTCGTCTTTTGGGAAGTTTCTTATTTCTTAAATGATTATCGTTTTTTATTAATTTGTATTTTGTGTTGTGTATTTATCAGTCAGCTACATTACCAGGGTGTCAGGGACGTATAACATGTTTGCCCCGTAGCGACCTCAGCGGTACGATGATCTCTCGCCTTTTGCTAATAAACTAAAGTATTACCATATTCTATTGTCTCTTTGTCTTGCTAGGTGTAATGACATTGTTTATAGACACTTTGATTGTTTACTTTGTTTATGTATTAATGATAAATACTAATGTTAAAAATCTAAATATAGTGTTAAAACCAAAGATGAATGACCATTGATTATGCAAATGATTCATCAATTCAAACATGCATTGAACCTCAACAATATTTTGTTAAAAAAATTCTACCATGGATAAGGTTTGCTAACTAGAGTGTTGATGGTGACCTTGATATTTTATCTTAAGTTATATTTATCATGAACTGTGTTATCTTATACAAGAGATATGATGTGAACTGAACATCAGGGGTTAGATCTGACAAGTTGTACAACTTTAGGCTTTATTTACTTTTCATGTGTAACCAAAGGCATTGGTTACAGTTTCAGCAGGCATATTTATTACACTGTAACAAGCAAAATATCTGCACAAAAAGACATATTTGTCTGTTACAGTAGCTCTAATATAATTTTCTAGTATGTAACTAATGATGTGTGCATTGTGTAGGTGCCCCCGCGGCCTGCGGGTCAGCGCTCGGAGCCCGAGAACACGGGCGGCTTCCCAGGCTTCGGGTTCGGCGAGGGCTTTCACATGTCTTTCGGCATCGGCGCTTTCCCATTCGGCGTCTTCACCTCCACTTTCAACTTTGGCGACCCGCGGCCCAGCGCAGGTTTGTACCAATATTCTTCATCGCTAAAGTACTTTTTAGTATAAATTGCTTCATAGCATTCACTTTAACGAGCCTTGGCTTCCGACAATACGAATCTACGCCATCCGTCCCGCGCTACCTCGACCCAGTCGACGTACTTGACTAAGTGCTGTTAAATAATAATTTATTCTTTCTAGATATACATTTTTATTCTTTGCAGGGTTTTATTATTATAGATGTTACTGGTTAAATATTAATAATATGTAAATGACTTGATGTAAAGTTCATTCAAATGGTTTTATGTGTGCGCCGTGTGGAGCGCGGCTTCGGCCGAGCTGCGGGAACCGGTACTGAATTTATACCGTTACAACGTCTCGTAAACATGTTAAACAAAAATATGCTCTTTTTTGGCAATAAAATATCCGCAAATCGCAAAAATATTCAAATTTTAAGACGCCGTAGTCCACGAATTCGTTACGGTGTGCGGTATTAAGTCTGGATTAAATTCTATATTAAATCCTAATTAAATGATATTTTTAAGAAAAAAAGAAACAGATATTAAACCTATATATTGCACATAAGTATGTAGATATTTTAGCGTACGATATACTTTCACGCTACGACCTCGCTCTGTTTCGAACAAACGATATGTAGTGCTCTAATCGTGATTATTCTGAATAGAGTTTTTGTGGTATTTGTATCACTTACAATGCTACACCTAATTACTTAGAACATAAGATTAACTTGAAAATTATATCTAAACATATTTTTAAAACAACCGCGCAACGGCATTCGAGTTGGTTCAACTCTACACACATACTGTCAGCCATGTTGGCTTTACGTTGTATTGTATTTGTTGCAGCGCCGCGCGGCACCGCGCAGTACGACGAGGAGCAGTTCCTGTCTAAGATCTTCCTGTGGGTGGCCATCCTCTTCGTGCTGTGGCTGATATTTGCATGACCCGCCAGCGACCTCGTCCTCTCCCCCGCCCCCACCCTCGCCACCCTGTACCGCACTCACCGCCCGCACGAGAGGCCTTACCATCTAGTATGACTGGCTTCATTTCTTTTAACACCGCGGTTTAATACGTTCGTTTAACGGTTGAAGAATACGAATTGCATTTTATGGTAATATTTGTTACAGACAAGCCGTGCCTCTACACATTTAATATAAATGTTAAAACATAGTAAAGATAGATTTTTTTAAATCATAAAATATAAGCAAAATTAAGACCACTGCCACACTACGATTTGGCGAGAATTGTTTTACAGTTTCGCCTTGTCATGATGTGTTTCAAATATTGTATGTTGTAAAAAATTTATTATTCATACATTAATGAAATTAATATAACAACTGTATCATGAAATATGAACTCACAGACATTCATATTTCATTACTTAACAAGAAACTGATTTAAATTTTTTCAAAATGACATTTCAACTTGAATCACTAGAAAAAGTCTGCCATGTAAATACTTCAAGTATTTGATTCTATTTCATTTTCAAACATCTAACAAATACTTGTCTTTGAAATTGTTTCGAGGCTATCTCTGTCTACTCTTAATGGGTTTGATAGTTGTGGACTTGAATTTTGTATATTTATGTATTTAAATCGAAATTTAAGTAAATGTGTTGTGCTGAAGTAGGCACATTTTCACTCTAGTGTTAATGATTATTTCATGTTTAAAAGGGTATTCTTTAAATCTTATATCTTCCTTCTCTGTATAGGGAAAATGTATTTTTCCATGTTTTGTTGTTTCCATGTTTTTAATAGTTTCTTAGGGCTTATCTAATATGGTCTCATATTTTCTGTACTAATTCACAACTTTGAAGACATTATCTTTTTACTATTAAGTAAATAGTTAACACTTCCATCGCCACTAATTCTACTCGAAAGTTTGCTGTAGTTGGAAAATCGTATAGCATTGAACATACGAGTTTTTATTTTATATAGAACCTGGGTTTTATTTCAAATCATGTGGCTGCAAAGTTATGCTTATTAGTTAAAGAAACGTAAATTTTCTATTAGTTTTAGTTTGGTTCTAATGTAGGAGTGTATGATACAATAGTTGAGGATGTTTGTGATATAGATTTGAGGTTATGTTGCGCGCCGACGCCGCGACAACCAATTATCAAGCAAAAAGACCATTTTTTATTTTTAATTCGGTAGATAGAGTTTTATGTTAATATGCTTATGTAATCTATGTGTATATATTTAAATGATATCGATGTTTTAATGTAAATTATTTAAAATAAACAATTGTACTGCAATTTGTATTTATTTTTGTAAAACTCAAAGTTATAATGAAACATCAGTTTTTTTTTCTTTATTTATATTCACTGTGGAGAAACAAAGGGAATAATTATCTTAGTTTTAAACAGTAATAATAGATGTTTACGAAACAATTATCTTGAATGTTTTTGTAGTTTGAAAACTTTCATTCCAATATTTTAAACTGTTACTTTTGCTAGTAAAATAATAAACTAGGGTAAAAAATGTTCAGTATTAATTCTTAAATTACATACTCTGGCTTCACATTTCGCCACATTGGTCCAATTCATCATTAACAGCTGTGATGAAAAGTGGGTTCATAAAATGTTAATATCTCCCTACCTTACGACGACAACGAGGAGATTTCGGGTTACATAAGCCACGGCGAGTGTCACTCGAGTCCGTAGAGTTTGAGCGTGCGGTCCATGCTGGTGGAGGCGAGGTAGTGCGCGTGGCGGCCGAAGCGCACGCCGGTGGCGGAGGCGGTGTGGTCGTTGAACACCTTCAGCTCCTGCCACTGGCGGCAGAGGTAGACGCGCACGTCGCTGCCCGCGATGGCCAGGTAGGTGCCGCTCTGGTCGAAGCACAGCTCCTTGATCACGTACCCCTCCTCCAGCTGGATCGTCTTGAAGTTCTTCAGCTTGCGCAGATCCCAAAGCTTGACGCATGCGTCCTCCGCCGCCGTCGCAAGGTAGTAACCGTTCTCCGAGAACGATATCGAAGTGACGGGTCCCACGTGGCCGGGGAAGTTGGCCACGTTGCTCTGCTCCTTCAGGTCCCAAATCTTGACCTGCGAGTTCTCGGTACCCGTGCCGAAGATGAGGCCGTCGGGATGGAACTGCGCGGTGGTGAGGCTGACGCCGGAGGAGTCGCTAACCTTGGTGAGCAGGGCGCCGGTGCGGATGTCGGAGAACGCCCAGTGCTGGTCCGTGGAGGTGGACAGCACGTAGTCGCCGGTCGGGTGCAGCGACAGCCCCGTCACCGGGCCCTCGTGCGACCGCAGGATTACAGATGTTTGTGATCTGAAAACGAAACAATAATTGAACAATGTCACACTCAAGTATATTAAAATGGCAAAGCTCCGAAAATATCTCGGTCAGTGTATACATACGTGGGCACGTTCCAGACGCGTATGGTGTGGTCGGGGGAGGCGGTGATGACGGTGTCCTCGTCGGGGTGGTAGATGACGCGCGTCACCTTCTTGGTGTGCCCCTTCAGGATGGCGACGACCTGCTCCGTGTCCTTGTTGAAGACGGTCGCGTTGCGGTCGTTGCCGCCCGTCAGCAGCCGACTCTGGTCCGAGGGGTTGATGTCCAGGGCCAGGATACCCGGCACACTCGCAGAGTGCAGACCCTAAGGGAAGCCAAATTCGATTACAATTTGGATAAGTAATAGCTACTATTGGAGAGATTTGAATGTTGTGTACTGACCGGATGGGAAGCGAGTGTGAGGAAGGAGCGTATCTGATCGGGGGGCAGCAGTCCCTCGGGCACGGTGCGGCCGCGGCGCTTGCGCTCCTGCGTGAGCGCGGTGGCGCGTTCCTGTAGCCGCGAGACCACCTCGCCCGACATGCCCACCGCCGCCGCGCCGCCGCCGCCCGCCGCCGCCGCTTCCGGCTGCGACACACGCAATATTAGCACCCTTACAAAACCAAATTTAATAATAAACACTCTTTATTTTTCGCTTATTCTTCTTTCTTCCCTCAATTCCATAAATACTACTGTGAATCTAGACATTCAAAATTGGAAACTTTTATCGAAAATATATCAATACGAATGTAAGTTACCGCATGGGTGGGCTGCGGCGCGACAACAGCCACTTGCGGCTTGAGCGTGGCGAGGGCCTCGCGCGCCGCCGTCACCTCCTTGGTGAGGCGTGCGATGACTCGGCACGCCGCATCGTGCTGGTATAGTGCATGGCTCAGCTCCTGGAATAAACAAGTCAATTAATGATAATAACATAATGAGTATCAAAAACTATATTTTTTAGAAAGCTTACCTGTCTAGCAGTCTGCAGCTGCTGGCGCTGTGTGAATGTGTGCAACATCAGGGCATCCCACTCATCCTGCATGCTCTTCAGTGTGGCCGGGATAGATGTGGCACTTGGGGGCTTCGGCTTTACTATTGGCGGTGCTGTAAGCATTTGTTTATGTTTCATTATCTTAGGTATTAAATATGTAGAAACTGCAACTCTTACATTGGGAAAAGGTAACATAACTTTTAGTAAAAAAATAAATGTTTTTACAACTTAATAATGACTTATGTACAATAATGCTCAGTTCACACTTGTACTGTAGTCAGACAGTTGGGATGGCCAGTCATAGATTGTATGCACTCACTGGTGTTCATTAGAGTGCACAATGTGCCATTAGATTGACAGTCCAGTTATAGAGCACTACTGACCAACTGCCCTGGCCAAGGAAGAACCGTACATAAAAACGTGTGCTCAAGAATTATTAAAATAAATACTACTTTTATCCCATATATTGTAGCACATTAGGTAATGGAACATATAAAAAATGTTTTACGTCTCCTACAAAACTTACTTTTAATTTCAATAAGATCCTCCACTTTTAACTCTTTCCCGCTAATTGGATCCACGCCATTTTCAATTATATATTTTTCTATAATACGTCTCTCGAACACTGCTCCCGACGACGGAGAAACAACTGGGACTTCTGGCACTTCATTTGATACTATAATTGGGTAAAATTAGGTTAGAATTTTCTTTGAATACAACGCAATAATTCTTTACACCCTTATAACCTGGACTCGTCTTAGAGATTGTAAAAACTAGTTATACATTTTAAATCTGAAAACTAAAGGTTTTTTTTTTAAATGAAAACAAGCTAAAGTACAAACGTTTAAGGACCCGGCATGATTTTACCACTATTTGTTTACGAACTTTAATCCTGTTTCACGGAGATATTTGTAACTTACTTGCACAACATAGGGCCATATTAAATCCAGCTTAAAGAAAATTTTATCACTAGAATTGCTTAACATTCAATTAACAAAATACAAATCACTAAACTTGTAAATTCTATTAATCAAATAGAGTTTGTTGAATGACGGATGTTGTAATTTGATGCTCTGTGGTCGACGCGACAACCACAGAGAACATAAGATTATAAATCTCAGCGCAGAGTATATAAATGCTTGATTTCATAACAGTTCCGTCAAGCATTTTGCTAACCCTTTTGTTATTTTGATATCCAATATTAACATTAATAAACAAATCGAAGTCTGACGATTTAGACACTCCGGAACATACAATATGCAGTGTAGTTTACTCTATAATGGAAAAATCGTATGGAGTCAGTTATTTTCAGTTGATTTTGTAAAACCGTACTTACGGCCGATTACTGAAACGAATCTTAAAGATGTCACTTCGCAAAAGCCTTACAATGTCTGTCTCAATTTTAGCATGTCCTGACCTTATCATTTAAGACGCTGTTACGTATTTAAATTTTAAATATCCTTTTAGTATTCCACCGTTTGATAGGTTTCGTTGTATTTGGATGGGTTAAAAATTAATTTACCAACTATTTTAATGTTTTTATTAAATTATTGAACAACGGATTAGAATAGATAGTGCCTGTGAAATGGCACTCTCCTTACAGCTAAACACGTGTAAAAACTTAAGCTATATTACTCGTAAATTTGTACATGGCCACTGCAAAAATAGTGTCACCTATACAAACATTTTTTTTATTTACAAAACTCTTAATGAAATACGCAACAATACGAGCTCACAATTTCAAGTTTGATTTATTGTTCATAAATAAAAACATATTTAATAAGCTAAAGATAACTTTTATAAATGAGTTAATATAACGTTTAATACGAAACAAATGTCGTTCCAATGTTCGGCCGTCAAACTGCTCAAATGTTTTACCACCTTGGATGAAAACTTGTGCTATATTTACTACATTTCTACAATCTATTAATATTTTGTTTTATCGGATTTTCTAAAAGACATAATTAAAAATATTAACTAAAACTATACAAATAACTTAATATTAATTTCATGAAATAAATAAAAATTGGCAACATAAAGAAATACTATTCTCAATAAGAGAAAAATCCTTTATTCACAACTCCTTGGAAGTTTCATCTTTACGAAATTATTTACAAACAGTTTATTATGTAACATCTAAGACCTCCCAATTCAATTGGCCTAATCAACATAATGAACTAAATTGCACTTTTTCATAATTATTTACATTAAGAAAACTCAATATATTTACAAAAACAAAGTACATATTTATTTCACCTTCTTTGGTTTGGCTAAACAAGAACATTACTAATATTAACTTAACCTCACCAAATGTATGGGTTTGAATGTATGAAACAAATACATCATAATCCAATTCCATACATTGATGATGCCTACATAAACTATTGTGTGTTTAAGTAACCAACATTTACGGATATTTTTTCTAGTGTTTTCTACAAATTCACATAGAAATTAATATTTATAAAATTAATTAAGAAAACATGCAAGGTGAACATACAATAGTTTACATAGAGGCCATTAACATCTGAATGTCTATAAATTAAGTCAAAATATTAAATTGTTCTTTAAAATAAGGTATGTGATACACATGATATACTTGTGACATGTATATTTAAAAAAAAATGTTTGATCACAACCTCGGTATTTGTTTATCAATTATTTTTGTGCTAATTTTGATCATAGAACTATGCAAATAAATTCAACTTAAATTAGTAATATTGTCAACAAATTGACTTTTTAATCGTAAATATATCATAATATCAATGAAATATATAATCCATTCTAACACAATTCAACTATTTTATACCATAATTTAAAACATTCAATATTATTTTAATATAAGCACAGAAGCAGTCTTCAAGCAGTCGTTTTAACTCATTTTACATTTAATTTACTACATTTACTAGAATATGGGCGGAAATACACATGCCTGTAAAATGGATGGATGGTAGCCGGCATTCCAGCTTCCTTCATTTACATGTCACAAAAATAAATATGCATGCAAGTATGCCACTTACTGGCATGTGGATTACTGTCCATCTCTTGTCAATTTACATTTCAAAATACTTTGTTGAGATGGTAACACAGGATATGTATCTTTCCATACAACACTTATACTAATTTTATCCATTTGAAATTATTTCAATAAGTTAATAGTTTAAAAAGTAAAATGAGCAAGGAATACATTTTAAAATGTCAAATAACCACCTGAAGAAATTCACATCACTAAAGTTTGTCAATTTTAACATAAATAGTGTTACTGTTCAAACATTGACTGAACACTTGCACAGTTTCTAAATAGTTCATTAAAATAATGGCGAATTTTAACACTTCACTACAGCATTTTCACAAAATTTAATTGTCAAAATTGTGTTCCAAAAATAATCCTCACTTGTCACAAAAAAACTGTTTAGACATCACTTTGATAAACACATCCCGGAACAGGATAACACTTAAAGAAACAAAACCGTTATTCTTTACTGTAATTGTCAAATAAATTTTCTAGTTAGTAAATAAAACTGTCCGTAATATCGGGAGTTTAAACTTATTCGTGGCATAAAAGCCGTGTTGTACGAACATTATAAAGTGTCAACACTTCGGTGGGTGAACAGTCAACACCAGTCCATATTAGTGTTGCGCCACACTGGTCTGTAGTGTTTACAGAAAGACAGTGATGGCGTGGCAGGCGACGGAGGGTCAGGTGAGCGAGTCCCGCAGCTGGCGCACGGCGGAGTACACCTTGACGGCGGGGCCGAGGCGCAGGCGCAGGCACGCCACCAGCTCCTCGCACGACGCCATCAGCAGCTCGGCGCCCGACAGCCGCGCGCCCGCCGCCGCCGCGCCCGCGCCGCGCCCCGCCACGCGCCCCACCAGCGCCTCCACCTCGCTCTGCCCACACAACACAACACTCTTATACATATCTCTAAAAATTGTGATAAATAACTTTTTCAGTATTTTCGAATATAATATAAAGGTGCAGTCACCGAAAGAAGTAGACGTGAGTAATAGCCGTAAAATAATTAGTTGTAAAATGTCTCACGAAGGTTTAAATAATGTAATTTTCGAATATATTTTAGTACATCAGGAAACAACATTAACAATTATTATAAATTTATTTAGTTCAAATAAAAAATAGTGTAGACGATAGATAGGTTACTATTCAAAAAAATAAAATTATAGATTTCAAAATGGGTGTACTGACTTGAGACCAGGACACGGGGTCGTGTGAGAGCGCGAGCTCCGAGATGTGTGCGGCGAGCAGCGCGCGCGGCCACGCCCCGCCCTCCGCGCGCGCGCCGCCCCGCTCGCTGCCCCCGCCCCCGCCCCGCCACCGCTTGCCGCCGCACCCCGCGCTCACTGACGAATCCTCGTCGGAACACTGATGAACATATTCATTTAAACCCACACATTTTTAAATCTAATACAATACTAAAAACGACAAAATGTTTTTCGTTTATGTCGATTTCGTTTATGTGATACTTACATGCTCATTTTTCATAACATCAACGCGTTTGTGCTTCGGCGGTCGACCGCGAGGTAACCTATGTAAAAGAAATAAAAAACGTCAGAAGAAAGTCATTTAGATGCACATTTGACACATGGAAATAATTATATTTTCATAAGTAATTTAAGTTTCAACGTACTTTTCTTTGGGCGCGTCGCTGGTGGGCGTGCTGTTGCGTACTTGCACCTTGTTGGACTTGTTAGCTCTGAAATGGACAACAGGAAATGAAGTAGATTAATAAAGTGTGAATATGCATAGTGAGGGAAGCTGTGTGTGTGTGTGCGTACCGTGGTGCGAGCCTGTCGGGCGGGTCGAGCGGCGCGCGCGTGCGGTAGGGGCAGGCGGCGGCGGCGGCGTGCTGCTTGTGCGCGCCGCCCCGCGCAGACCCCAGCCCGCGGCACCCGCCCACGCCGCACGGCCCGCTCACGCTGCGCTCCTCCTCCGCTGAGGACACAATCATACTAATATTATAAATGCTAAAGTTTGCACGCATATTTGTTACAGCGTTCTATAATATCGGCACAGATATAAAACATAGTGTAAAAGTATACATAGGCAACTCACTAAGATTTTTTTAATTCTGCCGCGACAAAAACACGAAGAAAACTTAGTTAACATGATAATGGTTGGTACACTTCAGTATACAGTCATCTTATTGGGGGACTGAGAAAAAATATCGAGTTTTTTCTGTTTTGATTTTGATATTTTTACTCAATAAGTACTTAAGCAGTTATTGTCGATATATTGTATTCCATGTCGTAATGTAAATGTGGAGCTATACTGACTGAGGGGCGGCTCGAGGGGGTGGCCGGTCTTGAGGCACCAGCCGACGGGGTGCATGTCGGGCGAGTCGTCGCTGAGCCAGCAGGAGAGCGTGTCGGGCCAGCCGTCGAAGGTGACGCGCACTTGGTGACCCTTCACCTCGCTGATGCTCGCCACGCGGATCAGGAACGGCACCTTACACACATCACAACACTTATCACCCTAGTTCCCATTCAACATCAATTAAAACGCAACCTGTCCACACTAACACATAATACAAGTGACTATAAATGTCGCTTATTGAAAACCCTTACGATACAATCGTTATGGCGGGGATGATTGTTTCTTTTTTAATTAAAAACAAAAACGAAATACATCGACTCATGAACAATAATATATCTGAAGAAATCGCTTTTAATACAGTTATAATGCAGATATCGATCATTGCATACAGTGAGACATTATACTAAAGTATTAAGTTAAGTTCCCTGCGCTTGTAGCAATAAAATACACACGTTTCAGTTTGGATGCTGACTCAATGTGGGGCACTCGACACTCGTGTGAAATATTAAATAATTCGTTTATCAATGTTGAACTTAAAAAATGGCATAAATTTAATTTATTCTATATTTATATTATAAAGACGAAAGATTTGTATTTTTGGATTTTTGTACGTATTGAAATAACTCAAAAACTACTGGGCTGATTTTAAAAATTCTTTGACCGTTAGAAAGGTAATTTATTTCTGAGTAACATATGCTATATTTTTTAATACGCGCACGAAGTCACAAGCAACTGCTAGAAATTTATAAGTTCAAACACTGCAAATTATTCTAACTTTTGTTGTTATAAATATTGGGTAGTCAGTTAACAACAGCGGCCTATGTTCCTAGTATGAAGAAAGGTTCTGGATTAAATTCATGTTGCACATTAGATGCTTACCCTGGGGTCGACCACCTCGAGCTTCATGGCGGGCTTGAAGCCCTGCGGGGGTCGGGGGCGGAAGGCTCGCGGGGGCGCGGCCACGGCGCCCGTCTCCGCCAGGTATGTCTCCCAGCTGAATGTAACTGTCTCCTTGTAGTCTAAGGAAAATTAATTTTGATATTCAAGTAGTTCGTGGGGTGTATGCCGTAGAATTGTTCATATTATACTATATCTGTACTTAGAAATCAAATATGTAGTAATCAAAGAAACATCATAAAGAAAATCGGTAGTATAGATCTATGTGACTAAACTTAAATTCCGAATATAAAATGGAAAATCTTTTTAAAACAACATTGACGTTTATTTTTTAATTTTGTAATATTATAATTTAGCAATGAGTTAAAAGTAAACTGAAATATGTCGTTATGTTAAGAAGTACCTAATCAAATACAGAGGGCTTATCACAAACATTCGTGAGAACGTTTGTGACGGCCCTATCGGGCGTAAAGTACACCAGAATATCTCATACAAATGTCTATGATGTTACGAATACGTTAGCGCAAATGTCACAAAATTCGTAATAGACCCTACGTTTTAATGAAGTATAATTGATTACATTGTCGTATTGATAAATTATGTTTTCGGTTTTATTTTTATATCAAAGTGGTTTAAACGACATTTAGTTTATGTTTAAACGTACATTTGTTATAACAATATTTTAGTAATTTAAAAAACAAAATTATAGAGAGCAAAGTAGTTTTTAATATTTGGTAAATATTAATAAGACCAACGCTTAATTAAATTATGACAAATGCTATCTGCAATTGTTGTACAGTTAGTGCCGCTGCTATTCGCGAATGTATTAAAATAAAACAGTCCGTTTAATCCAAATAAAAATCTGGATGATCTAGATTTGTAGGCGACCTTTAGCAATGTGAATTCGAGTTAAAAATATGAAGTAAAAAAAAATCTACAGCTAAAAAACGTACCATATGTTTGATTTTGTAACAAAAATTTATAAAATTGCCTCGGGGAAAATTAAAACTTCTCCAAATTAATCGAAATCAAAAAAAATCAAAAAAGGTTTCATCCATGTGTGTCCAAGTATATGAGATTTCAAATGTGAATAAACGCCATCCAAACACATCGGTACAATAGCGAATGCGACCACAAAAACAAAAATATTAATATCTACAAAAACACGTCCAATTAACATTGACATACAAAAATTACTGTATATACGATAATAAACTCACTTATAACACTTTAAATGTATTAAATGATTTTGTAGCGTAAGATAAATGTTCTGTTAAAGTTGTATATAATCGGTATAAAGTTGCACATAATGAATATCAAGTAACAATGTGGTGTGGGGGCGCACGCCGACGACGCGACGGGCGGCGAGACGACGACGGACTGCCGTGTCGCGAGCCGCGACGTAAACAAATGTATATTGAGCGATACCAAATAAATCGAATACGAGGTGTATTTTTCTTTTTATTGACTTCGCGATTCTCAACTCGTTTAATCTTACAACAATCAATTAATATTGTCTGTATTCTGCTAAATGAAATCGATCAGAAATACATACATTTTTTTGTTCTTTAATTTTATATTTCTCCTTAGATTTCTAATTGTGACAGAGTGTAATATGTCTTTTTTTTCTTCTCTTCTGCTAAGTGTTTTGTTTTAGGGTTCATGGAAAACCGATGCTTAAGTTCACACCGCAGCAAGTGTCGAATGAATTCCTTTTCGTTTCTGAATATGAGAGTTTCTTTATTTCTTTCAATTGATATTAATAGACGCTCTTCTAGCTCGCGACTTATAGGACTAAGCAGAGATGGCTCGTTTAGTGTTTTATTATGAAAAAATTAAAAAAAATTGGTACCTTTTTAAAAAAAATGAATACTTTAACTTGCATATTTACAAGTAAAGAATAAATTAACAATTAACCTTTAATAAATATGATTATGTATTTATTTCCTTTTGTTTCGAGAACAATCCAAGGCTATACAAGGTTTCTGTTAATTCAATATGTTAATCAAAAAAACTTTATAGACAATTTGGATGGAGTATCCCACGATGTGTGTTTGAAATGACTAACCAAATCACGGGGTTGAATTTTTGTGTCGATTGAAATAATTAAAAAATACTAGGCCGATTTTTTAAATTCTTTGCGTACTAAATGACGTATTTGATCAGTTATGTATTCAAAAAAACATTACATCAATAATTATAAAATTCTAGTGGTAATTGTTAAAAAAAGACCTGACAGACAACAAAACCTGTAGTAATACGACATGTTGATACATTTTTGTACAATAAATAAGCAGTGAGCAATGGTATTGAGCAGTGGGCAACCACTAAGGGAAATTGAGGGCGTCGCTGTACTGATAACAGACGCATTCCTGTTTGTACGCAAACAAACTTGTGTATCAGTGCGCTGTAGGGTGACCAAGTAACAGTATACATTCCCGTTATAAATCAATCACAAAAGAAATTGACATAGATATTTTTTACGTATTAAAATCATTACTTTATGTGTTAAAGGTGGGTTTGAGTTACGTCTAAACTAGACTGTATGTAGATACAAGCCAAATTACGGTGATTGCAACTGAATTTATTCAAAATACCAATTTTAATGTTGGAATTCCTACAAAATCGATTAATTATATCCACCCTACCACGCACTGTATCAAGGTAAAAAGTTAACCTGCTAGTTTATTTAATGTCCGACACGTAATCCTTTACGAAACCGAAGGGCGTCGGGCAAATAATTTTGTTGTCCACTTGACCCCGTTGTGCACGAGACACGATATTTTTTATCCAAAAGAGAAAACGCCAATGGCCTTCTGAAGTTAATCAATATACACAACTTAAAAACTTGATTTTTTTTTTGACTTTCAAGAAAAAACAATTACATCATATCAAAGAGCCAGGAAATCTTAATTCGGAGACTTTTTAAACCAAAAGTGATTAACAAACCAAAAATAAACAAACGCGCAGTTCGCTTAAAAATAACATAAATCTGTGCTTGTTGATATCCTACATAACAATAAAGTGGGTACGCATTAACATATTAGTATAGATTTATGTTTGCACTAACCATTGGGCGGCGTGAGGTTGTAGCCGTGGTCCTCGGCCCAGCCCACGGGGTGTATGTGCGGCGAGGTGGGGTCGGCCCAGTAGTCGTATCCGTGGTCCCAGCTGTCGAAGCTGACCAGCAGCCGGTGGTCCAGCATGTCGGCCACGCTCGCCACGCACACCATCTCGTTGTGCACGTCTTCTGCCTCCAGCTTCATGCCGATACGGAAACCGTTAGGCTTCACCATCTAATGACAAATGTTACATATTGCACACTGAATCTTGTTAATATTATAAATACGAAAGTTTAGATGTATGGATGGATATTTGTTAGAGTTTGTAGCCTAAACGGCATAACGGACTTAGATGAAATTTGATACTGATGTAGAGGATATTCTGGAAGAACACATAGGCTACTCACTTTCGTTTTTTTAATTCCATGCGGACGGAGTCACGGGAAAAAGCTAGTAATTTGTGGTCTTAAATGTTCTATACACAAATACATGAACAGTGCTATTGGTATAATAAATTTAATTTTATCTAGAGATGTAATAAAATATAAATGTTATTGTAAAGTTACATAAATAAATAGTGATAGTGGCTTTTATTGTAACAAGTATCAACTGTAGCTATGTTTGGAAATAAATATACAAATTTATCTTTAGCTCTCAGACACATGTTTTCTACAAACAAATGGTCAAAAGCACAACTTACCGTACTAGTAAGATGTGGAAACAGATGCTTTGGTGCACCAACAGCCTTCAGTTTCTTCAGGTATAAGGGCCAAAAGAAGGAGGAGGGTGTGTAGCCAGCAGGTGGGTTTAGAACTCGACCATTCTTTTCGCACCAGCCCGGGGGAAATATGTTTATTGAGTCTGCATTCACCCAGAAGTCATACACGTCAGGAAACTCGTCGAAATGTAGTCGCATCCTGTATCCTTGAACTTCAGCCACCGACACCACACAGAACAGCGACGGATGCTGAGGGTCTATCGCCTCCAACCGCATCCCCACTTTGAAACCATTCCGGTTGTATGGAAATGGGTCTTTGAATAACTTGACGGGCGCAGCTTTCGCCTTACAAATATCTAAATATGTCATCCATGAGAAGCCATTTTTACCGCACATCCAAGGATATTTCTCATCTTCGAAGTCTTCAGTCATTTGAAGCAATGGAACTTCCGATATTTGGATATCGTTGGGCATTGAATCGTATGGAGAAACTTTATCTTTACCGTCTTGTATCAAATCTGAATCTGCTTGTTTCCTCATTAGCAATTTCTTTATTTTATTCCTCTTTTTTGCATTATCAAGTCTTTCCTTCTCCCTCTTCTTCTGGGTAATCTTCCGCATCTCTTCTTGGCAGGTCAGACTGCAAAACTTTGGTGTGATGAACTCCGCCGCCATGCCGTGACACCCGCACACTTCGCAACGGTACATATCCTCTGGAGAGGTGGACTTCTTCTCCTTGCCAGTACTTGCGCTGTTCTGCTTTATTGGCGAATTATACTTCGCTCCATTAGCTTCTTTACCATTATTGTTGCTAGATATCAAATCAATTAGTCCAAACTCATTAGTTTGAAACTGCAGGCCGCTGCCCTGCAAGTGTGCAACACCATTATTCCATATCAAACCTGGAGGATCTTCCTCGGAAGTGGGCTCACTACTATCTAGCCCTTTCCTTGAATTATCTTCGTCTAAGCTTTCATACGTAATGTTAACGCTTACCTCGGGGATCAGTTTTATTTTATTTTTATCATCTTCAGGGTCTGAATCTTCAGTGATTATTTTGATATCTAGTTCTTTTTCAAGCTTCTCGTCGCAGAACAATGAAGGCACACGGTGGTCGTCATTGTTTTCCGAATCTTGTACTTCCGACTTTTCTATTACTTGAGTAAATGTCTCCCTACTCAGTTTCTTTGTAAAATTCTCATTACAGAGAGATATGCGTCTTTTCATGCTTGCATTGGAAACTTTTCTGTCACTATTATCAGAGTAGGAGCGTCGAAGGATAGCGGGAGCCGCTACCGCTGGTGACCCGACATCTCTATCAATAATATTTTTATTTAATAAGCTCTTACTTTTCTCTGGTATTGCTAGAGTAAAAGATTTTTCATGTGTTTGTCCACCTTCATCTTCTATAGATACAGTATAAATATCATCGTTCATGGAGGCATTTGTTTCAGGTATGGACAGAGTATATTCACCTTGCTCCCCGGTAGGCTCAGCTCGGGAGCCCTGTATTGATATGGCACATGATTTATCTTGTGTACTTTGAGAAATAGCAATGTCTTTACCATTTACCAAATTGGAAAAAGGCATAAGTGGCATATCAGTATCCAAAGGGACAGTATCTCTCATAACAGTAATGTTTCCCTGAGGATCATTTTGTATCTGGCCATTAGCTATTTGTAAATTAATAATAGGACCTTTAGAAGCCATGGTGGCAGGCAACGTGACTGGTAAAATAAATTTTGTATTGTTTATTTTGGGCATATTCATTGGAGTTAAGAAAAGTTTTTGATTATTTGAAGTAGGAGCTGGTTGATTGCTCGATATTAGAATGGATTGATTTTCAGATGCATTTTTGGCATTTTTCTTGACAGGTCCCAAATATGCAATAGCCTGTTTGCCTTGTGTTACAGGAGCTATGCTAACTGGGACCATCATTTTATCATTTGATTTTGGTTTGATAACAATTGGTTGTGAAGCATTCGCTGGTGCCAGTATTGATGGCTTTGGTTTGGGCATTTGAGATATTGTGGGTTTGTTGACATTTGATATCAAATGAATGTTTGAATTATTAGCAACCTGTAACAAAGACAAATAATTAAGAAACCATTAAAAATAACTTTGTAAAGTTACATTGTCACTTTTCATTGATTTTAAATAATAATGCCCAATCTTAGACAAGGAAAAATTAAATTTGTTCATATCATATGACTTAGAAATTATTAAAATTAATTATATTATATCACTTTTGTTATGTTACCACATGAGTTTAGGAAAAAGAACATTGTTTTTCCTGTAACAAATGAGGAGAAACTGCAGTTGCAGTACTTGCAATAATTAAATATGCCAATATAGGGCAATTATTAAAATTAAGGAAAGAGCTACACACCGGTCTCCTTACTATAATCTGTGGTGGGTTCCCGCTGGTGCTGGCTTGGCTTATCACTTCTGTATTAGTGACAGGTTTCAATCCAGTGGGTGTCTGTATGTACACAACATGTGGCACACTTCTCGGCCCACCTCGGAGCTGCACTGTTCCGGAATTAGCAGTATTTGGCAATGACAATTGTATTGAACTGTGTGATGTATTTGGTATTTGGACCATACCAGAATTTGACACAACTTGACCTACTGATGTTTGATTATTCATTTTGACTTGAACTGTCGAGTCAGGAAGATAAGGCTGAGTCGAACTTGACACACTCATGTCAGAATTTACATCAATATTATGTGGTCTTGTGTTTGAACCCATGTGAACATGAAATATAGAACTGTGTGCGTTTTGTAACAGTGGCATAGGAGGCAATGCTTGTCCACCTATTTGAATATTTTGACTGACTGGTGGTAACTGCAGTGGCACATTTATTGTTTCTCCTGCTGGTAACTGGACTGGAACATTAGTTGTACCGGAAACTTGTAGTGGGAGACTGACAGGTGTTATTTGTAATGGCATAGAGTTTGTAGCTGCTGAGAGCTGAACAGGAACATTTATGTTAGAAGTAGATCCTGGTATTTGCACTGGCACATGTACAGTAGACAACTGAAGGGGATAAGGAGAATTATTTGCATGAATCTTTACAGGAGCTATTGAATGAGTTACTAAATTATGAGTGATCGGCATCGAGCTCTGTGGCGCCTGCATCGAAGACACGATCATACTGCTCGAGATTGGCGCCTGAAAAATAAATCAACGTTAGTAATGGCGCAACATATTATAATTGAAGTCAAATAAAACTAAACTCACGCGCAATGTGTTCAACAGTACATTCTGCGAACTGTTTTGTGAAAAAACACCACTAACGTTTGTGTTAGATGTCTTTAATAATCTTTTTTTTAATATATCTGTTTTCGGATCGTCAAAGTTTTGAAGTGCACTAGTCTGCTGCCTATCCATTTCTCGACCTCCAAAACATTAATGAATTCATTACAGAAGTTTAAATTATCTTTTGCAAAACATTATTGACCACCTGTAAAGTATTTAAAATATTAAATGTTGTGAACAAAAAAATACCAACGCAAAACTCACTATAAATATTATTAATACGCAACGATAAAGTTTTTAACGTCGAATTAAAAACAATCTTAGCCAAATTATAATACATTTGTATTCAATTGCATTAACCAAAATTAGAACATTTTTCTTTCGCGACTATCGCACTCTATCAATTGTGCAGCTACTTTTGCAGGACCACAACCTTTTAAAAAGAAAAGTTCTCGAAACACTAAAGCGATTCTTTGTTACTTACATTTAGTATTATGAAGTTGAAGTATAATTTTCTTGGTATTATTCTAAGTATTGCAATCCCATTTTCGTCTTCAAAACCATTAAAGAAAAATAAATTCTGCTCAGCAAAGCGACGAATTTTACCTGCCTACACAACTGGTAATAATTCTGACAACATAGCCAAATTAATACAGCATTCGTTAGGTTGGCACTTTCGAAATTTTCAACCAATGAAATACGAGCATCTCTATGACGGTGCTTTCGCGCCCGATTATTCAGCTAAAAAAATGAAAGATGAGCGTTTCTTAATTATCATAACCATACATTTCATATCACATTATTCAAGTATTCTTTAAGATAAAAGCATTCTAAAATTGTACGTTAAGCTGCATTTTCTAAAGTTTCATATTTGAATATGATTAAAAAGAAATAATTTAAATAAATTAGCAGATAGTCACATTGTTGCTATGTAAAATGTAACAAAAGTAAGTTAACTCTATATGATTCATTACGTAATAATTTTGGAACTTGAAATACAGTGATATAGAGAGGATTGTAAAATAAAACATTCAGTTTTGTTTGTGATCAGATATGCAATTTATATTTGTTTGAAAAACAGGAAATACTGAAACGGAAATAAAATACAGATACCTATAAAGTCTACAAGTTTACAAATTCGGAGTTCACGTTCCCGCTACGAGTTTCCGTTTATAGTTTCCCGTTTGGATACATTTACAAAAGTTAAACTCCAAAAAAAGGTTTATGTGTTAACATTATGTCTAATTGATATTCATACGTTTATTTACTGAATAAAATTGCGAATTTCTTTGTTTATTCTGCTTATTTTAAAAACAACTTGATGGCATCGAAAGTTATTAAAAAATTTGGCAGGTGACTTTTATGATAATCGTGTACGTAAAATGTATTAAATTATTATTAATACAAATAACTGTTTTGTTTAGTTAAGGCCTGTAGTTAGCCACGTATCTATAGCTAATAAATTAAAATTAACACCAAAAAAAATACTAAACGTCAAACGTACATGACGTAAATGTCAATTTAAAGGATATTGCTTTCCTTTTCGAGTGTTTATTTATAATTCTGTGAAATAAACTTGTGTTTGTTATTGTAACAGTGTAAATTTTTGTATATTGATTTTTTAACACTTCTTTCAATATTTTCAAATATTCAGGTACATGGATTGCTTGAAACTGATTGTCTAATATTTTGTCATTGCGCGTTAATATTAACACGAATTATAAGAAAGAAGACGAATCTTTCGTAATTGCCCCCGGTATTCTCTTCGATAAGTCTAGAAGTATTGATTGAGAAACCATATAATTTTACTGTGAGAATTGCAATATGTTTCATTTTACGTGTCATGTTGTTATGTATCTTGTTGACCAATTTCAAATCTTTGATCATTATAATTATTCGATTTCGTTTTCAAATAGAAATTAATTCAATTTTAAATAGAATAGAAAATGGGTGAGTTCGTAATCCAATATGAATAGAATATAGAATTTGTTCCAATTATAAAATTGTAGTACATTTGCATTCTAAACCAGGCTAGTGAGGATCTATTGAAACCAAAGACAGCTGTATGTAGAATTTTATTTGCACAATCCCTATTTATCTCCAATTATGGATGTCTATGGGTAGCAGTTACTTTGCTATTCAGCAAATGCAAGTTTGCAATCTTATAATATAAAAAATAAAACATTAAAATGTTTTATTGTGATAGATATCTGCGTTCGATGCTGGAAGTAAAAGATGAGCAGCCAACACCAGTACATGACGGTGAACAACTCCCCCAGCACCAGGGTTGGAGATATTGAGCATATAAGTATGTCATTTATCAAATAAATAACCTTAAATATAAACAAAATATTCAGTAATATTTGTAAATCAGTGATATTGTATATATCTGATATACTTTTGCCCAAAATTTTAATTTCAATGTTCTTCAACAATAGGCCACTTGTCAGAGCACATTGGGTCTCTCTGCTTATCCTCAGAGTACTCAGATGTGACTCTGATAGTGGAGGGTCAGAGGATCCCTGCACATAAGGTGATCCTTGCAGCCAGCAGCGATTACTTCAGAGCTCTACTGTATGGAGGCATGAGGGAAGCTAATCAGGTAAAATAGAAATCAAAATTCCTACAGTAGACTAAGAAATAAACACCTTGTGAATAGATAATCTGTCGAATACCATACCACTGTATATTTTACTGCTACTAGCTGAATACATCTAGTAAAATAACAATGTGTACTAACTTGTATTTGGGTTAAGATAATGAACAAAATGTTTTTCAGGCTGAAGTAGAGCTGCAAGCACCTTTACAAGCTTTCAAAGCACTGTTGCGATATGTTTATTCCGGTAAGTATTTTGTTCTGCTAGCTACTAGCTTTCGCCTGCGACTTTGTCCGCGTAAAATTAAAAAAAAAACAGTAGCCTGAATGTTCTTCCAGACCTCTACATCTATGCCAAATTTCATTGAAATTTGATCAGCCGTTTAGGCTACAAGCTCTAACAAACGTCCATCCATACATCTATCTCCATTATCATCATCCATTATCAATTTTTTTGTATTGAGGCTATTAATTATCTTGATGGAGCAAAATATTGCATGCTTTGCTGTGCAGAATTTTAAATAAAACAAGGAGCATAAACAGAGAAATAAGAAGTCAGGTGATTTTCTAAAACAAATATGACAATAAAGGTATACTGTATAGGCCACATGGGGCTGTCGCTACTGCGCGAGGAGACAGTGCTGGACATGCTGGGTCTCGCACACCAGTTCAACTTCCAGGAGCTGGAGGCCGCCATCTCCGACTACCTGCGGCAGGTGCTCGCGCTCAGGAACGTCTGCGCAGTGCTCGACGCCGCCAGGTCAGTCTTCTAGTGTAATCTATATTATAAAGAGGAAATATTTGTATTTTTGCAAGTATTCAAATAAGTCAAAAAACTACTTGGCCTATTTTAAAAATTCTTTTATGATTCACCTTTAAAAGCCTGATTTTTTAATCAAATTACAAAATGCATAAGTGTACCCTTTACTGGTTTTTACTAAAAAAATAGTAATAAACTCAAAACAATGTTTTTATATATTTTCGTGATATGCTTCTTTTTGTTTTCTAAGTTAAATATTAGTCAAAGGTAACCTAAACAGGCTGATATGAAAATAAAATCGATTGTAGGATGCGATTTATAACTCCAGTAGCTTTCAAACTTGAGGTAATTAAGTGTTAAAAAGCAGCTTTATTAGAGAGTAACATGAGCTGTTTTTTAATTACGTTTTAGTTTCACACGGGCGAAGTTGCAACAGCTAGTAGTATGTAAGATGATGTGTTGTAATATTGTTCATGTTAAGATCAGAAAATACTGATTACATCTGAAAACTTGCTTTTGTGTGTAAAACACTGATTAAAAAGGATGGTGTTAGTTATTAAGGATTAAACCATCGTTGTACAGAGTTGAATAGTGGTAGAAAAAGATATTGTGATACTTTTTTTGTAGACTGTATGGGCTGGAGGCGCTGATGGACTACTGCTATAACTTCCTGGACAGGAATGCAACAGAAATCTTGCAGCATGACTCCTTTCTACAGCTGTCTGTTGTAAGTTACAGATATAGAGTATTGTATGTACAGTTGGGGAATTTGATGATGACTTTGATAGCTTTAGTCGCTTGAACATTTTATAAAAAATGTGATGTTGAAAACAGACAATAGGACACTTAATATAACATAAGAGTTGGTCATTGATTCACGGCTATATGATTTAATTTTTAAGGTTTTGTTTGCGCAATTCCTTGCTACCTAATTGGTTGTTTGTATGTAGAGGCGGAACTTGTTTTCACCGCGTATTTCCGCGACTGTACTTCATATCTTAGGCAGGGATGGCGAACTGCTGGTACGCGTGTCATCAATGGCACACGATTTAATAATTATAATCGCAGTCAAAATTATTCGATGGCACATCGAAGATCATATTGCAACATTTCTTTGAAAAAATGACACTTTGATGCATAAATGTTCGCCATTCCTGTTGTAGGGTATGTCCAGAGAATAGCGTCTAGTATTTAGGTGTCATGTTTGTGTGGTGCAGGAAGCGCTGCAAGGTCTGCTGGAGCGAGACTCGTTCTTCGCTCCGGAGGTGGACATCTTCAAGGCGGTCTGCAACTGGTTTACCGCCAACCAGCAATGGGTCAAGTCTGATAGTGGAATGATGCAAGTCGTAAGTACATCAATATAGCAAGCCCTTAAGACTCTTCAAGTATCATTATGAATAAAAACTACCACATTTTTGGATAATCGCATTTTATAATTCTAGCAAGCAGTCAGTCACCTATAATCCCGAGGTTTGGAGGTTTTTTTTTTGACAGATTGTATCTACATAGTTTTTTTTCTATATCTCTTACGACAGTTTTGATGGTTCAGTAAACTGAAGGAATGAGGTGTAATGGGGTATTGCGGTAATGCGCGCGGTGTCGGCAGGAGAAGGTGCTGAAGTGCGTGCGGCTGCCGCTGATGTCGCTGGAGGAGCTGCTGACGGTGGTGCGGCCGGTGGCGCTGGTGACGCCCGACATGCTGCTGGACGCCATACAGGACAAGACGCAGACCAAGAGCACCGACCTGCCGCATCGCGGCTTCCTCCGTCAGTCGTCCTATCTATACTTATATTATGTTACAGAACGGATTATTTTTGGATTTTAAAGATCCATTCTAAAAGAATTTTTCAAATCGGCCTAGTCAAAGAAAGAAAGGTTCAAAGAAAGGTTTTTTAAATGTTCATTGAATGTGGTGCCGGAGGATCAATTTTAGTTCCTTTCCCATTCCATCCTTATCTTATAAGGAAAGGATTGGATGGGAAAATTTGACGGTAAAGGAGACCCAGAGGAAGGGGATATATCCTCTTTATGTGCGTGTCCTCCGTTGATTTAGGGTAACGCATCCGCTATTGTGGATGTCTGGTAGCTTCGCCATTTTGGCGGATTTAGGTGTGCGCTTTGCTTTATTGCGAGGTGTGTGCGGGGTGTGTGCAGTGTGCGAGGAGAACGTGGCGACGGCGAAGCTGGGCGCGCGCGTGGTGTCGGGCGACATGCGCTCGGCGCTGCTGGACGGCGACGTCGACAACTACGACATGGAGCGCGGCTACACGCGCCACACCATCAGCGACGCGCCCGACAACCCCGGCATCACCGTGCGCCTGCCGCACCCCACCATCCTCAACCACCTGCGGCTGCTGCTCTGGGACCGCGATCACAGGTACGTCGCTACTGCTGCGCCCTCGCCTCTGTCCGCACCATCATCATCATCACAATCACCAGCTACATCCCCACCGAGCGGCCAAAGCCTAAGTTAAGGTGACTAGGTCATCGTCAACCTCGCTGCCTGCGTGTTGGTTGACTTGACACATATCTTTGAATTTCTTCGCCGATATGTGCAGGTTGCATTTTGGCGAATTCCGGTGTCCGCTTCGTCAGCAGTGTTAGCGTTTCGAGTTAGTATGAGGGTGAGGTGTAAGGAGGAGTGGTGCGCAGGTCGTACGCGTACTTCGTGGAGGTGTCGGTGGACCAGCAGGACTGGGTGCGCGTGGTGGACCACAGCAACTACTTCTGCCGCTCCTGGCAGAACCTCTACTTCGAGGCCCGCGTCGTGCAGTACATCAAGATCGTCGGCACCAGCAACACCGTCAACAAGGTACGACTTTGTTAATGTATTTTAGTTATTATTATTGTGTTGCCTTAATACGCCGAAGAAACAATGAGAATTGTAAGTTTTTTATTTTCATGTGTAGATATTTTTATTCAAATAGTTCTTTTTGTTTTATTTTAAATAATATTAAGCTAGTAAGGTTAGGAATCCTAGAAATATCTTTTCTTAAAGAAACACATTTAAAATATTCTTCCTCTCCATATATGATGAAATTTGTCATAGATGTCAACTGTTGACGGTCAAGGTGTAAATATAATGTGTCACTTGTGTGCAGGTGTTCCACGCGGTGTCGCTGGAGGCGCTGTACACGGCGCGCGTGCCGCCGCTCTGCAACGGGCTGGTGCGCCCCACGCACAACGTCGCCACGCTCGACCTCGCCGCCGTCGTCATCGAGGGCATCAGGTACCCTCGCCCTCACCCTCACCCTCAGCACCGCTCATACTTCATCATCTCCCCTACCTCCTACTCCCGCAGGCTCGGTACCGGGCATTCCTCCTACAAATAACTCCTTATCTCATCACTTCCTTCTTGATCATGTCACCTTTCACGCGATCCAGGTCTTGGGTTCGAATCCCACCATGTATGTACATGTTTCTAGTTATACATTTATCTGCTCCCTTTTATAATGAAACCCTTCATGAGGGCGTGGTTTGGGTTAGTTAGCTAATTTGGGGTAGTCTCCAAACCCTTCAATGGAACATTTAGAAAGCTGATGATGATGATGATGATGACGATGGTGTCGTGTGCAGCCGGTCCCGCAACGCGCTGCTGAACGGCGACACGGAGCACTACGACTGGGAGCAGGGGTACACGTGCCACCAGCTGGGGTCGGGCGCCATCGTGGTGCAGCTGGCGCAGCCCTACATGCTGGGCTCGGTGCGGCTGCTGCTGTGGGACTGCGACTACCGCCACTACTCCTACTACGTGGAGACCTCCGTCAACTACTGGCACTGGGACATGGTGGCGGACCGCACGCGCGACCACTGCAGGTCAACAACTGGAACTTGTGTATCCTTTAACTAGTTGTCTACATGCGGCTTCCTTCGAATAACGAAGTGTATAAGTTAAGAAATATCGTTACTATAGCAACCTTCCTTCCTTGCTGCTATTGGCTTGTAGTTTTTTACTTATCTCGCATAATAATTTCCAATGTATTCTCTCTCAATATCAAAAAAGCATGAAAATGTATAGCCTATAGTTGTCGTAAATCCAAGGCTTTTAGTTAAAAAAAGCATTATTACTGTGTATTTAATTTTGTGACATTGCAGGTCATGGCAGGTGATATACTTCACTCCGCGGCCCGTCTCCGTCATCCGCATCGTCGGGACCCACAACTCCGTGAACGAGGTGAGTGTCCTCTAGCTGTGGGAGTAGCCTCTGCAGCAGCTGGTGATGCCATTGTGTGTGCAGGTGTTCCACCTGGTGCACCTGGAGTGCCCGGCGCAGGTGGAGGAGCCGCGCGAGGAGCCCGCCAGCGGGAAGAAGCCGCGCCCGGACCGCGCGCTGCCCGGACCTGCAGGTCAGCGTATTAACTGCGGTATTCATGGGAATTGTTGGGGGGAGGGGTGTCTTCCCCCAAGAGAATTTAAAAATAGCACATATTAATAGCTGCCTCTCTAGATTAAGTCTAAATTTGGCTATGCTTATGGTTCATGGTAAAGAAATGGTCTACGTTCACGCTGAAGCATTTATCTCAAGCGGGACAGAGTCTTATGCTTGATTTGCATTTCACCAGTACAGTTGGACAATACTGCAGGTTAAGCTTGCATTGTACGAACACTGGCGCTAGTTAGAGTATCATCATGCCAGTTGAATGCCATTGTTGTTATTTAGCATTACTGTCCAACTACTGACCTGTAGCAGGAATCATGTCAAATACTTCATATTTCTTGTTGATGTTAATTGACATTTATCTGCATGTACATAGGTAGTGGCGTGAGTCCGGAGCGCGTGCGGGCGGCGTCCCCCACCGGGTCCGCGCAGTCCGCCGGCTCCACCAGCTCAGCGGGCACGGGGGGCTCGGGGGGCACGGCGGGCTCGGGGGGCTCGCGCCGCAGCGTGCCCCCCGCGGAGACCGCCAAGGAGGCCGCAGAGACCTACGACGAGTGAGACAGCGCCCGCCGCGCGCACTGCCACTGCCTATGACACTAATGACACCCCCAACAACCATCATAGTGCATTCATCACCAATCCTGATAGTGTGAAGTGTATGTGATTCTAAAATCTCTTATGTGTTAACGAAATATATGCGGATTTTACGTTAATTTTATAGTGTCGACAGTGAATGAAAATTTATAATATACAAATACAAGAATATTAAACATACATAATCGTTTGTTAACTAATAAATGTGTTGCTTCTAACCTTTACAGCACTAAGTATGTATATTTGAAAAAGCCTTGTACTGTCATTAAAATGACTAACAAAATAGGATTAAGTATAATTTTTATTGCAACGACATCTTTTTTTAGTTATTTAGTGTGTAGTCTGTACCTTCTAGTCTCGTTTCGATGTTATAAATTATTTTTCTTGGTTTTTCCAGTACTGAAAGTTGGATTAAAAAGATAAAATTATGTATTAACTTGTATGTTTTGGCAGATGATATCCATATCTAGATTTCCTTTTAGAATATTAAGGACTTTATATTGTCTATTTTGATTTGATAAATGTAACAGTGTGAAGTTTTTAAATATTTATTTTGATGTGTTCTTATCATATGTTACTTAAGTTGGATGTCGAAACATAACATTGATTTTCATAAATATAATTCCAGTTTATGATAATTAGTATGATTTAAGTGTAGTTTTAATTGATTTATTTATCTAAAATCACGGTGTGATGTATGTAATTTTGATTTTCACTGTTGTACTTATTAATAATTTTTATAGAAACTGAGTTATAACGTAAATGTTTATGGCCTATTTATCTGCACGAAATGTTTAGAATTTAATTGATAAGTTATTTATATGTATTTGATAGGTGATTAAATATATAATTTATATAAGCAGTTAAAAACCCAATTTATTTCTCAATCCAACTAATAAAATAGAATATGTAGCTCGGGTTTAGGATTATTTTCTGATCTTTATATGGGTTGTTTCTTTAAAAATAGTTTTTGCTTTATTCCGACTTTCCTTTTGATGTTATTGATAGTTTATTTTTGTTATTTCTAAACTCTAATCAGCGAGGAAATGGCGAAAACCTATTCATGTATTTTAAATATCCCAATTATTTTAGTAATTTGATAGCAATGACTTCAATAGCTTTCAGGGTAACATTTTAAAAATGAATTGGGATGGACGGAGATAAAAAATTTTCATTTTATATCTGGTATAAGAGAACTGAATGAGATGTATGCAAGTAATTATATGTATATCTTTTATTTGTCTAGATTAGGTTTAATTTTTAAGTTTTTTTTATTTATATGCATGAACTAAAATATGAAATGTATGAAGCTATGTATATATTGGTATTATATTCTGTAAGGACAACTTTGGCTTTAAAATTTTTGCATCACTTCCATTCAGAAACCATAAATAAAAATATTTTTTAATATATGTGTACTCTGTATGTTTTTGTGTAATGTTATATGTTATAAGAGTAGAGAACATTGATTGCTGTGATAAAGAAAGGCTTGTCTATGGTGACAGAGAAGAGACAATTTGTAATACAAGTTTGTAGTTGTGATTGTTTTAGTTTATTATAAACAACAATGTTAATCGAATTTTAATAAAGGTTTAATTGTATATTGTGTATTATTTTTATATAAATAAACTTTTAAACTACTGTGCAGGTATCAATGATTATTTCTATGTTATATAGTTGCATTATCACTGAGTAATGTATGCCATACTTATTAGTTTTTTTTTAATTCCATGGCAATGAAGTTATGAGTTAAAGTTAGTGTGAGATGTGGCCTTCATTTGTTAATATAAGGAACTGACGAAAAGATAATTTAGATTCTTTCAATTTCTTCTTTTATTCATTAATAATTAAACCTTTTGTAATGCTTATTTACAATTATCTATTTTTATATAAAACAGTACATCATGTGATCTGTGGTCCTCTTTCTCGCACAATAGCTCTGTTTCTCTTTAATAATCTGCTAGGTTCTATAATATCCGGATTGCTTTCTTCTGCTAAGTCATCAAGTCGTTTCCTGAGCAGTTGCTTCAGTTCTTCTACAGAACTTCCTTTCAATGCAGATATTCCAACAATATCTTCAAATGAAATTATATTTTCTGGTCTTATTTCTTCTGGTATTTTGTCAATTTTATTTTGTATATCTGAAAGTGATTCTTTAACTTCTTTAAGAATATCTTCCGCACCGTTTAAATCCATTTTGTTGATGGCTAAAATAGCTGGTTTGTTCAGCAGCTCAGGGTCATATAGTTCCAACTCCTTGTTCAGTAAAAGAACTGTTTCTAAACATGACCTCTTTGTATGTTTTGGACTCAATCTAAAGCCCTCAACATCAGCAATGAATAGTAACAATTTTGTTCTTTCAACATGTTTTAAAAACTTATGTCCTAGACCAATATTAATATGTGCCCCTTCAATTAAACCTGGTAGATCCGCCATCGAGATTTGTCTAAGGTCTTCATACTGAATTATTCCCTTATTTGGTTTTATTGTCGTAAAGGGATAATTTGCTATCCGTGGTTTAGCTCTAGAAATAGCTTTTAGAAGAGAACTCTTGCCTGCGTTCGGAAATCCGACGAGACCTATATCAGCAATTAATTTAAGGTCCAAACGAATATGATGTGTCTGTCCAAAATGACCTAAGAAATTATTGTCTGGATTTCCTCCAGGACCACCTCTAGCCACTATTACTGTATCACCCTCTTTGTCTATGGCACCCAAGACCTTACCATCTTCTCTGTAGACTGTCACACCGAGTGGTACTTCTAGTTTAACGTCAGAACCTGGATTACCAACTATCTTAGCTTTTCGGCTATCTTCACCGTGACCAGCGGTGATTGTTTTGGCACGATACTTTGACATTTGTCTAAGATTGGAATTTTCATTTCCCACACAGTACACGCATCCTCCTTGACCACCAAGACCGCCAAACTTGGGAAGTCCCGTACCACCGGTCCCACCTTTTACATGTAGTCTGACGGAATCTATAAACTTACTACGTAAATAGTTACGCGGTATTTTTATTTCTTTAACTGCAAAACAAATTTTAGTTATTAAAACCATATTTTAAGTGTTTTTAGAGGTTACTACTTATATTTTTATTTAAATTTAAACTTCTGAAATCATTTTTATCTTGTTCCTGATTTCTGTCATTTCATTGTCACATTGACAGCTAAAATCATAACAGAGAATAATTCCTTCTCTCCTTATTTACTAATTTCTTACATAACATATTTTACACTAATACCTATGAAAAATTAAATAAATACAGATACACATAAAATATATCTAAAAATACTGCACCACCGGCTGCGGAATCTGACCATAACTATTAACATATTAAAAAAAAAACAACGTCAAATGTACCATGCTACAATAATTTATTTTAACCTGTGAACCAAAGCAAAAAGGCCGAATTTGTTTTGTATGATAAGTGATAAGATAAGAAGTCGGAAAATGTTTAAAGTTTTGATCCAAAATAAAACCGCGATGGGCAATACGAGTTAAATTATAATATATACCCAGAATCCAGTTAAAATGCAATTACTTTCTTATAAATTTCTTATTGTTTTGATTTTATTCAATGGAGTTTCACTTTTATCGGCAAGCAATGGTGATCGATCGCCTTTTTATCAGAAATGTTTGAAGAACTGCGTGAGATCCAATTGTACTGAAGGTAAGATATTATTTTTAGTTGTAGAAAAGAGTGATATATATCTTGTCATCTTGGTGAAACGTAATATTCTTTAATGTCAGTAGCACAGAGAACTTTGTAACATACTGGTCAGTAGTTCGCAAGAAATTACACTAATCGAGTTTCTATAAATTAGGGTTAAACAGGGGTATTGTATTGTTTTCAATTTAAATGTCAGAGAAACTACCTTGCAGATATTGTATTTATACATAAATGCTAGAATAACATTCTATTTTAGAAATCTTAGTAAATCATAAAATTCGACATTTATATCGCGATCTATCCCTATCTCGGTTATTATAAGCCATTTGTTAAATTTGCTCTACATATCTCTCTAAGCGAGTTAGTGCTGAGCGACAAGTACAAAGTTGCTTATTGGCCATTTCATATGTGTATGAAAAAAACTTTTTTTTACAATAAAAACTGAATTCTCAAAGGAACTTTAAAAGTTCAAGTTCAAACTGGTTAAGCCCCCGAAGTGGCAGAATAACTGCTCCATTTTCGTTCTGTTTATCTGCAATAAGTGTCAATGTCTGTTTTATTTTAGATGGGAAGGATTTCAATCCTACGGAGGCTGAAAGGCCTGTAACCACCAACCTGCTGTCTACATGGAACTGCTTGGATGAATGTCAATATGACTGTATGTGGAGGGCAGTTGATGCGTTCAAGAATTTGGGATATGATATACCAAAGTTTTATGGAAAGGTAATTTCTGTTTAAGTTTTAATACATAGAGATATAATGTTTTGTGACTTGTAGCTGTGTAAACTAGCCTTAAACATAGACAATAGGTTGTTAATATTTTTTTATCATTCATTTATATCAGTTGTTTATTTGTGTTATTTTCTCACTTAAAGGGCAGGCAGTGGCTGATATCTGCTTAATCTAATTCTGGTATGAGGCATGTTTCTTGATTGTTTGTAGCTAGCTTTCTCATTGTATAGAGATTTATCTACTATTTAGTTTGTTTAGTGGGGAGAGTATTTTTGTAGTTTTTTGTACATTTAATATATTTAAATATTGAGTATTTTTTATTTAAATTAATCTTGATATTAAAGTGTTACCAGTGGTAAAAGATTACAATTATTCATCTAAACTATTTTAAAAAACGATATTTTCTTTATGAGGTGAAATTGTACTAATAATTAATTTAATAAACCAAGTTAATTACTACAGCTAGGTTATTTAATCATTTATGAAGCTAATTTATTATTGCATTTCAAATCAGGCTCGGTCTACTGTAGAATGAAATAATATAATTTACTTGCAGTGGCCATTCAAAAGGATATTGGGTGTACAAGAGCCGGGATCTGTGTTTGCATCATTCCTGAACCTGGCAGCGCATGTCTACATGTATAAGGAGTTCATGCAGCAATTTCCTGTAACCGAGCATGATAAAATTGGTCTCTTCTGGCATTTCTTTGCTTTGGTCAGTAATTACACTTATGTTCAGTTAGTATGTATTTGTTAGGATAATATTCAACATTTTAAATGTTACACCATTTTTGTTATAGTGGTAGCGCCCAGTTTAACATGTTGAGATGTAGGCCGGCCTGCACGGTGAAATACCATGACCACACAGAAGCCATGCGTTATGGAGAACAATTTCGCGTTTCGTCTAATAAATGTGGTGCCGGAGGCCTAGTCTCTTTCCTTGCTCACCATTTTCTTATATTAAAAGGATGGATGGGGAAAGCTGATTTGATGGTAGACAAGAAGGGGTAATATCCTCTTTATGTGTACCTCCTTCTCCGTTGATTATGGGTAGGTAACGCATCTGCGAATACGGATCTATATAGGCAGTGATCGCTTCGCTTTCTCGGCGAATTCAGGTGGCCACTCGCTCGTTAGTCACCTTGTAGTATAAAAAATATATATATGTGTATGCAGGTGTGTGTGAACGGGTGGAGCTGGTCTATATTCTTCCACATGAAGGACAGCCCCTTCTCGGAGTTCATGGACTACGCGGGCGCGCTCTCTATGGTGATGATCATGTTTATTGCAGCTGTCATCAGGTGAGCCAAGCCACTACCTAACCCTTTTCTTGATAGAGTATTGCCACTTTCCAAAATTGTCATAAATAGATATAAAACGTAGTTAAGCAATAGTTATTACAATGTAAACAGTGAAATCTTTTGTAAATAGTTTTAATGTTTTGAATTATGAATTTTATATAAAGAAATGAAAAATAAAAAAACTCCCCCGACATATGACAGATTGTCTTTTTATTCATCAAAGAGATTAAATAAATATGCAAAAAAGCATAATTAACACTTCACGCTATCTATTGATAGAGCCTCAAGAATCTCTAAAAATGTCAATTTAATAAATTCTATTTAAATGAATTGCCAATAAGTGTCATTAAATAATATTTAATTGTTTGTTTTCTTTTATTTTATACTAGCTTTCCACCGCGATTCCATTCGCGTAGAATTAAAAAAACAACAGTGAGTAGCCTATGTGTTCTTCCAGACTGTTATCTTCATTTATATCAAATTTCATCCAAATCCGCTCAGCTATTTAGGCTCCAAACGTCCATCTATCTTAACTTTCCCATTTATATTAGTATGAAGGACACGAGTCAGCGTACTTGATAACTAACATAGTACCTTTTAAAGAAGTTACCAATGAAAAAAAATGTATAGTCTATATATTTTTTTAATGTCTTTGTATTCAAAAGATGTTATACTATCATCATCATCAACTTGCCCTTATCCCTTACGGAGGGACGGCACAGTATGTGCTGCTCTTCCATACATACATCAGCCGTCATATCTGAAACCACGCCTTTCTTAAGCATATCCTTTTTCACACAATCCATCCTTAGGTCCTTCGGTCTTCCTCTTCCTTTGTAGCCATCCACATTTATTCTTAACACTTTCTGGTTTATGTCCCCATCGTCTCGTCGCATAACATGTCCATACGCTAACCTTTTGCTTCTCAATTTCTCTACCACTGGCGCTACTTTCAAACTTCCTCTAATATACACATTCTTAACTTTATCCATTCTTGTCACACCACAGCCATCTCAGCCACATGCAATCTCCTTTCATCCGCAACTATGGTGGCCTAACATTCAGATCAGGTCTTATGATGGTCAAATTATGTTTTACTATAGAGGCTGTTATTTTGTTAGGGTGTTTGAAAATCACAGGAAACTGAAGAATGCCATTGTTTCGGTGTCAGCGGCGATGCACGTGCTTCACGTGTACTACCTCTACTGCGCCGTCATCGACTACGACTATAACATGATGGTCAACTTGGTCTTTGGTAAATTTGCATTCCAAATACATTTCTACAGTTACCTTATTAAAACTTTCGTGAGATATACTATACTAGCTGTAGCTCGCAACTTTAACCTAAAGTAATAAAAAAAAAATAAAAAAAATATTTTAGGTTGTCCACTGAAAACGTAGGGTATATGGTGAAAGAATTTTTTTTATATCGGCACAGTAGTTTTTTAGTTTTTTCAATACATACAAAAATACAATAATATAGTGAATTAAGTTGTATTTTATTAATATTATAAGAGGGAAAATTAGTATTTGTGTATGTATTGAAATAATTCAAAAACTAATGGATCGATTTAAAAAAAAAAATCACAAGTAGTAATATTGGCTACTATTTTTTCAAATTCCAAGCATTGATGTCGCGAAATTTAGTAACGAATACAGTTCTAGAGTGTAAGTTAGTCATACTTCGTTAAAGAGCCTATTTAGTATGAGAGGTGTGAGTGTGGTGTGTGCGCAGGCGTGGCTGGCGGCGCGCTGTGGGCGGGCGAGGGCGCGGCGCGGTGTGCGCGGGGGCGGGGGCGCGGCGGGGGGCGGCTGCTGGCCTTCGTGCTGCTGTCGGCGGCCGCGCTCAGCCTCGAGCTGCTGGACTTCCCGCCCTACTACGACACGTGGGACGCGCACGCGCTCTGGCACCTCGCCACCGTGCCGCTGCCGCTGCTCTTCTGGAGGTCAGCCTTCACCACTGGTGCCAAACTATTGTACATCAAATAGCATAAAAATGCGGTTTTAAACATGCCATCAAATAATTATTACGTCAATTCTATGGTTCACCTACTTCATAATTTTTTTCGTAGAGTTTTTATAATTTTTATCGTACCCAAAATATATCGTATGCCATTTAACGCGTGCCAATGGTTCGCCACCCCTGTCTTATAGCAAGTTTCGTTGACTTAATTTATTATTTTTTAAATAAAAATAGATTTTTTGTTAATTTACCAATGTTTCCTTTTTCACAATAGTCGAATGCCGGGATTCGAACCCTCGCCTCGGCAGCAATATCGGTAGAAGCCCAAACCGTTAGGCTATTAACGCTTGAATCTTCATATTACATTTTTAGCCCGATTTAAATGTTTAGTTCATCTAATATTAACTAACAATAATAACCGTATTTAGAAGCGATGATAGCTCTGTACGACGAGAGAAAGGGAAGACGTAAATAAATAAAAATATAACGACCGACTTTTTTAAAGATAAATCAATTTTAATTTTAAACATCTACATCGAAGTTCCATTATACGTTGATTTTTTTTGTGTTTTTTTTTTGTAAGATGTGCGAGTGTTGTATGCTCTTGCAGGTATGTGATCGACGACCTGCAGTACACGCGGCGCGAGCAGGCCGCCAAGGCACATCTCAAGATGGCATAAGATCTCTCTTAAATGTAACTTCTCTAGTCTCATATTAGATGTTAGCTAATTTTTGTAATATTATACTCATAATAAAACGTAATGTACGCGTACGCGTGTTTTATTTTATCCTTTTCACGGTCCACATACAGGCCTTTTATTTTAAATTCCCTAAGCTACAAAGCGTAGTAAAGCTACACAGATATCACAGATCTTGTTTGATACTTTCCAGTAAAATTAATAAACACAGAAATTATTAAAGTATGCTTAATTTATTTTAAATACTATAAAAATTTACAAATGGACACCATAATTTACTTTTACAACTGAATCGTTTAACTGTTTTCGGTCACCGGAGATTTAAATTTCTGCTTCTTGAGCCATTCGAGTTTGAGTCCCGTCCTCTCGCGGGGGACGGGGAGCGGCTCGTGCCGCGGCGCGCGGTACTGCTCCCGGAACGTCTTGGAGAGCCGCTTCTTCAGCACGGCGCTGCGGGCCTCGTAGCCGCGCCAGAACAGCGCCTCGTCCGGCTCGCGGCCCGAGTACGACTTCTCGGAGAAATGTATCGGTGATTTGTTCTCGTTGAACATCAACTTCTCGTCCCAGTAGCGCCGGTACTCCTGCTCCATGTAGGGCGATTGCCTTCTAGAACATTCCGGCATCTTGAGACCGCTCTCTCTGTCCGTTTCGATGATGTCCTTCAAGTATTCCCGTCTCAGAGCTTGTCCAGGCCTTTCGTCACTCTGACCGGCAGGTTTCCTTTCTCTGTGTGTCTTGTAGCTGTACACAGTGTGCGTGTCCGTGTCGGAGCCCGTGGACTTGGCGTCGTCCACTGTCCCTCGGCCGCTCGGTAACATTCTGTTACTCACGCTCTTTTTTTTCAACATTTTAACAGTTTCAAACATTTTTTGTAGTAATCCAGGTTTTACTTTTTTCTGAAAATCGAATAAAATGTGACATTATTATCGCATATGAAAAACATTTCTTAAAAATTGTACTAAATACTGACTTAAACTAATATGAATATGATAGGAAAAACTATTTACTTCTATTTCTGTATCGGCAGCCGGTGTGAGCTCAGTGCCGATGGTGGTCGAGCGCGTTTCGTTATCGTTTTTGGACTCACTTTTCTCAAAAGTTTCATATTCCACAGCCACTGACGTCAGTTTATCTTCTTCTTCTTCGTCGTTAATTGTTCGTAAAGATTCCTCGTTGACAAATCCCTCTGACTCACTGCTCACTTCTGTTTGTACCGCGCTAGTCGAGGTGGTGTGAGTCCGGTCCTCGTCGATGCCGCACGACATCACGACAGCGGGCATGTCCAACTGATTTTCTTTTTCTTCACCAGAATTTTGTTCCAAGATCGTCATTTCTTTCGTGGTGACAGTATTCGGTTCAGATTGCGCAATCTTTCTCGGATAGCCAATAGATATATGCGACGTGTTTTTACTGGAATAGTTAACGTTTAGTGCTATAGATTTGTATATTTCTTTTATTAAGTTCATAGTCTCGCTCTTGGGTGGCGAGGTGTAGGCGGGGACGTCGGTGTTGGTTGCCGTGGTGATCGCCGGCTTCGACTGCACAGGCCTCGGCCCCGCGCTCATGTTGTCTATATGTTGACATTCGAAATCGTGATGTTTTATATTCGGAAATATAAGAGGGAAATTCTGCAGGCATTTTACCGTAGGAGACTGAATATTAGCATAGTAGAAGTTAGGAACGTGACGCGGGTACGTTGCTAAACATGGGTTAATGTTATAAGAAGGATTGTAATTAAAACTGTTGAGAAGTGTTGACCCGTAGCTAATGTTATTATGCGACATGTCTTTTTGAACGATGACATCCTTTTTAGGTCTGGAAACCACGTTGTGTTGCTTAATATTTGACTTTACTTCGGCCAAAACTGATTGTAATATGGTTTTAATTTGAGTTAGTGCTACTTCTGCCTTGTTTTCGTCTGGAATGTTGAGTTGGACTCCTTTCGACTCGACCGTCTGGCATTCCGTGCTATTAGTATTGTCAGTAACACATTCTGCATTTTTAAACTTTGGTTCAACTGCAGTAACACGTTCAGGCTTTGGACTAAGGTTTCGTTTTACATAAATATCTCCATAATCTATGGAACAAATTTTAGGTTCACTGGGATTAGTTTCTTGGTTTACATGAGTTCGATTTTTCTTTTTCTGAATGTTCGTGATTGTGAATTCATGTCCATTTTTGTAACGTGTTTTATAAGGATTGCGTGGGCCGTCGTATACACGGCGAATACCGTCATTTACGAACACTAACGGATTCAAATTTAGTTTGGTGTTGTCATGCCAGCAATCAGTATTCCACCTTTTCATTTGTTTCGGTAACACGTCTTCTTTCTTCTGTTTAATCGGTTTCTCCCTTACTGGGAAAATATCATAATCATCGGAGTTATAATATCTGTTATAGTTATTACGATCATTTTGGGAATGGTTGGAAACGGGCCCGGGGTCGATAGGAAAGTTATTGGTGACATCAGTATTTATATGATTAGTCTTAGGGTAAGTCCTGTCGAGGTTCTCGTATTTTCCGTAGGAGCACGATATGTCGGAGGGATAGGATAGGTCCCCGTGGGCGGTATCTCGGCATACGGGTGAGGAGAACTGACTGGTATCGGTGAGCCGGTCGCCGATCAGCTCCGGCTCGTACTGTTTGCGGATCATCTTGTTGATGTAGGCGCGGGAGAGGAGGTTTCTGTTGATAGTGCTGAAATCTGACGTTTTATCGTAGCTGTTGAAAGGCGAATTCAAAGCCTGAGCGAAATAAACCAGTTGTGTCTTCCTCCGGGATTTCTTCTTGAGGGCTTTTTGAAGCCTTTTTGGAAAGATTTTGCTGCTTATTTTGGAAACCTTTCCCGGGAACATCGAAGTAGGTATATCAGCGATGTTTGAATCGGAATAGGCGAATCTACATATTTCGGTATTATCTTCCGTAGAATACGAAGAGACGACGAATAACTTAGAAATTTTTCGTTTGAAACCACGCTTGGGTTTAGTGTTGCAGGCGTGGTTGGAAACGGGCACCTTACACTCGGCCTTTTTGTCTCGCGATTTGTTTCGCATCATGTCAGGCTTCCCGAGCGCCGTTTGTACGATGGCGGCGACGCGGTTGTTCTTGCTGTTGTTGGCGCTGGGCGCTTTGCCCTTCACCTCACGGAGCTCCCGCTCCAGAGAGTTGATCTTCTGCTGTAGGTCGGTCACGTCTATTGGAATGCAAGAAATTATTTTCACTTCTGTCTGTGATGGAGTGTTACCTGGAATATTATAGACATTATTAAATTAGATATATTGCTACTTTCCAAAGTTTTCAGCTAATTTGACTCGACTTTTACAGCTATCGTTGTTTGGATCTGTTCATTAGCTTTTTACATCGTTAGTATGAAGTTCTTATTTATTGTTTAGTTTCTCACTAACTACAGCTGTTTTCTGATAACTAGTACTATGACTTTATTATGTCATTTTACCTAAATTAAATGCTACACGACGCAGAAAATTTTCTAATCCTTTAAAACGTTGCTTGTATGGTAGACCCTGGTTATCTCTGCTCATGTTGACTGCTGACCACAACTAAAAATTAAGATTATAGTCGTAAAATATTCTTCTAAGAGTTTTCAAATAAGTTTAAACTAGATTTAAGAGAAGTTTCATTTAACATAGTCTATGGATACGATGCAGCCTTAATTTTCTTGACCTTGCTTGTTGACGCTTGCCTTCACTATTGTTTATTGTCAACGAATTGAAGACCATTGCCTCCTATCCTTTCAATAATGCGGATATTCTCTTAGTTAAGAGGTTGAACAACCTCACGACAACCTTTTACTATATTTTCTGTACTCAATTGAGATAACTCACCGTAATTTTTTTCTGTAAACAATTATTTGTATGTATATCGTTCAGTTTCCGCGAAAACTATCAATTTCATATTTATAAACCGAATGATGATAACATAACGAAAATATTTGACGTAATGACATGAATGACATTTGTTGTCATAAATTGTTTATATTTTTGTTTTATTAACTAAACTGGTAATAGGCCAGTGGTCGGTAAAGAAATAAATGTTTCGTAATAAGGTTAGTGGAGTAAGAATTTGGTGGCTTTAGGTGGCAATTGGCTTCTTTGTGCTAAAATTACCAGGGATCTTTAACTGCGATTTCATCAGATTTTCAGTAATAGTACACAATAATAATAAAATACACATCGTTTCCAATATTTTTATTTTTAATTTAGTGGCAGTGAAGTTTTATTGGGTGGGTCTCGTGACATACAAACATAACCTGGTACTGCCTCAGCTTCCATACACGTCCATACAACCTGGCAGCGCTCTGCACTGGAAATCTCTGATACCGCGACCCACAACACGTACAGCAGACATACAATTCTTTCTACATTATAAAAATGCATTTACACGTACTATTGCACAGTCGTCACACTAAACCTACTTAAAAACGCCCTTAGTAGACATTTAACGACTATGCGATAGTAATTTATGAACACATGATTGTCTAAACATATTCTTAAATACGCCATTACCAAAGGTTAGTTTATCAAATAAGTGAGCTTTTCAAGTTACAAATACCGATAACACGTTTAAAGCTGCAGACATTTTTCTATTCAACTTTAAAATGTCGTGGTTTTTACAAATAAATTGTTCGTAAGATACGGGTTTCTTATCACGAAAAAAAAAAATTTTTTTTTTCACACTACCGCATCATTTCAGCCAGCCCGTGACAATGCGCATGCAACTGTGCCGAAATATCGGGAGTTGAAACAATTCAATCGTGGTAAGAAACCCGTATTTTACGAACATTATATTTTTCTATTCATTCAGTTCCTGCGGTACCAGGTGTAGCACCACCCTGTATGTTATTTATACATTTATTATTCGCGCTGTAAGCGAGATACGTACCAGGTGTTTTAGACCTGGTATGGCATTCAACGTGTTAAGGTGTGTTTGAACTTGAAATGATTTCTTTACAATATTGTTACATTATAAAAAAAAGTTGATGTGTATCAGAGATTTGCACAGCTTATATAAACTTAACAAAGCCATTAAAATAACATATATATATATAGTTTGGCACAATTCATTGCTCTTTCACAAACGATTAAAAGTGCATTTAGCGTAAACAAAACAAGATTGACAATTGTATTCAATAATAGATAAGCCACGATCTTATTTTTAATACGTTATCAAATAAATATTATTTCAGTAATATACAAAATTTATTAATAACTCCCGTTCGAGAATAATTTCTAACAACTTAGAAATAAATAAATATGCAATGAAATTAGCGTGTAAAGAAAACTTTTAGCATTCGAGCAGTTGTCGCTTTTCATATTTTTAAACAATATATTTCTCATGAGTATGACAGTATGTTGGACTTGTTATACGATTCAAATATCTACCTATCTTAATTAGATGTTATTGATTTAATAGTAATCGTTTAATTATTTATTTATAAAAAAAAAACACCGTAGTATTTTTATAAGAAAATTAATTGTAAATCAATTAACGAAGAGTTTTAAACGTTTGTGAATAATGGAGCGGAAACATTAACACAACAATAAAATAAAATAAATCATTTGGCACAAAAACAGTCTCTACGTGCGTCTGAATCATATGACTTGTTTACTAAATATCGTAACGTATAATCAATGTAAGGCAAATCTTTTCGAGATAAAAAAACGTTTAAGGTGGGTACTGATTGTAAGGAGGTGTTGTAACATGTTACAAGGTGAGCATTTCTTTAATCAGCATATTGTGTTAAGGGGAAACTATCGAGCAACGATCCCAATGCGAAAGTAACAACTCAACCTTACACCATAAGCATCCATCTAAAAAGAAAATAGTAATCGAATATTTATACAGTTTCCATGGTAACCAAACAGATGACTGACAGTTGAGTTGACTCAATTTCTGAGCAACAATAAACGTTACAATTTTCATATTTATACATACATGCTTGAGCTTAGAACAAAAATATTATAACTCTGATATAGCAACACTTGTCCACTTCGTAAGTTGGCAGCACTGACAACGACCAATATTAAAAATATTAAACGTGTAAAATTATGAATAACAGACGCACTAAATCGATATATTTTAATATACGGCAAATCACACCGCAATATTAGTATATTTGTATTATACTTCAGTAGTTAATTCTTGCTAATGGCTAATGCATGTTCCTTACATAGATTTTTACTATTGACGTCGTTTAGTACGTGATTAATATTGTTACAATTACCTCGAAGTCAATCACCTTACTAGCTGCCGTAAAGACATAAATACTTGCACTAAAACATCCTTCAATATTCGACCGTACCAGATATCTTAGTAGCCGAAGCCATCACATAAAAAAATGTCAAATTATACAACTAATCTTTACACATGTTTCCCTTAAACATTCCATTTTCAAAATTCTTCGCGGCTCGCTCGCCCGCTTTCTCAATTTTTTTTTTACATAATTATTACTATACACATGAGAATAATAAAACGGAACGTTTCGTTAATAATTAACAACTAGATATAATATAATGTGCGTAACGGACACCACTGGATCACCGATAGCTCAGTACAAACGAACAAATTGAAAATACATAACAAAGTACATACAAACCAGCTCGACGTCATCTCTTCCCACATCGTTCGTATCAACTGCACACATCGAACTGGCAAATTAGACAAAGAGGTAGGATTAATACATTTCTACTTATAAATAAAGCGAGCGTAACTCTTTTTACAATAAAAAACCAACAAACATTTTTTAAATGATAGAACATCTATTCCATTTATATCTTAAAAAATATTAGAAACGCAACAGAGAAGTTGCTAACTCTCATTATTATACGTTGTTTGATTCGAGTCAATCAACTTATACAATCGTAAAAAATTTTTATATAAGAAGAAAATTGTTTTAAAATCATTTTTCAAGTTGCCAATTTAGGCGCAAGTTCAATTATCATATTGTATAAATTAAATTACGAAAGTCAATACAAGATTGTTTTTTCATCATGGGATCTTAAACTGCACTCAATACTAAACAAGGCAGGTAATGTTACATCTCAAACAATTTTACAACTCGTGCCTCTCGTGAACCATACAACTTCATACAGATTCATATCATACATTAATGTTTTAAACGTCCACGTCTCTGTTCTATACAAAAATTAAAAACATTGTACAATAATACTAGGATACCATAGATCTAATATATTATATATAGAAAGAACTGACTTACAACTACCTATACCCATCTGTCTCGGCGACAGAATGCGGTGACGGTATATCGTAATTACAACCTCTTTTACAATGATTAATTAGTACAATTTATTATATCTATTTTATAAACTTTATGTCTCCTGGAATACCGTTTCGATTGCTCTCTCAATATTACATGTTTCCGAGCGGACGTGGCGTCGTCGCCTGGAAGGTGGCAGTGTATGGCGCGTTGAAGTCTTTTGTATCGTTCAGGAAACGCGTCGAATCCGTGAAGACACCGAGCCTCGCTCCGGGCAGCTTCTAAATATTCGCTGTATACTTTACACTCGTCTAGATAACATAATACATGAGCAAATATTTCATCTTGGCCAGCAATCGTAAGGTACCTAATACCACGAGTATATCGGCTTAATTAATCCTTTACTTTACATTAATTGTTAATTATTATTGTTGGAGTCTTATTTCAGTTACAGAGCGTTGACTTAATTCGATACTGAGATATTGACTATGATTATAAATGACGCTCCAATGTTCGTGCGATACCCAAACTAATATACCTTAAAGATTAGGCCAATGTGAGTGCGGCTCGTACGTGTGCGACACAACTGTGCCTAAGTCGGGGATGTCCCGCGGCGGTAACCGAAAATATTGAAATTTTAATGATTTATTTTGTAAATCGTCACTAACATTTGTATAATTTATTATTTTATCTAAGTACATTGACGATAATCTTGATGTCGACCTGGCCGTGCGTCAGGCCACGGCGAATGCCCGCGGCGGGCCACTTGACTTATCATTCACCTTACAAATCAGTAGGAAGTCAGTACCTATCATAATTCCGCTATTTATAAACTAAAGTCAGGGCAGGTGCGGCGCCGCCTGGCACCACCGTTTGCCTCTGACTAATTTCATACAAGTCTCTAGTCCACTGCGACTCGCGGAACGTTTCCGATCGTCGTGTAGCGATCCCTATCGAACTGGCGAGTCGACTCCGTGGCGTGAGGCGTCGCTGACACCCTGCGTGCCCCGGGGGCGAGCG